CACAAGTTTATTAGTTTTTTTAGGTACGGAACTTTGTGAATTTTCAACCAAGCAAGCTGTACGACAAATTTAAATAACCCCTACTAGATATATAGGTACCCTATTTACTGTTACACAAATTTCGATATTTTAAAGATATTAGCATTAATCTGTAATTGAATTATCTATAATTTCAAAAAATTCTTTTTGATAAAAATGTTAATTAGTCCTCCACTTTAAATACCTTCTCTACAAGGGTTCTTCTGATTTTCGGTATGTTAAAGGTTTCAGCCAGAAGCGCGAAAAACTTCGAACTAGTTTCATTCTACTTGAGTGGCAGCAAACTTCGATTCGAATAAGGGCGAGCACGCTTTGCGTGTTTGAGAGTGGGAGCAAAACGAAAACAACCAGATTTTACTCTTACCGAGCACTCGTTTAGTTTTTGTCAGATCCTTCTTGTATTTATATGTATGTGTCTTTTCACAAGCCACAGCAGTAATCGAAACAAAAACACGTGGAGCAGCATTGTCGCCAATCTGTACCAAAATGTATATGCCAGTCCTTTTTGTAAAAAAATCCACTGGCCCCTTGCTTCTACTGCTTTTCTCTTATTTGATTTTGTGCACGATCACCCCCTCTCTCACAGTTCACAGACACAAATTAGCAAACAAAACACTTTTTTTTTTCATTCGGTTTCACTCTTAGAGCAAACACTTACTCTATTTCGAGCAATTCTGCTCCCACTCTAATTTTTATAGCAGCAGCAAATGAATAGAAATCCTCTCTCCATCTCTATGGGTGACGACAAATCCCACAAAGAACTAAATATATTTCTCTCCGCTTTATACCACATAAATCCCAATTGAATGAGATCATATAATTAATTTCCATATGTTTGAGCTACTTGAGAAACTCTCCCATGGTATTAAAAACCAAAATGAATAATTTGTGGTCTGCATATCGAACCAATGAAAAAAAAAACACGACAACGGAAAACAATAACAAGAAACCCTTGGCAACACAATAAAATTAGTTTTAATGTGGATTTTATGATCAATTTACGATTTTACGCCATTTTTATGTGAGGCATACAAAATGTTTAAACAAAAAAAAACGTAACAGTTTTAATTTTTTTTTCTAGAGTTACGATACTTTTGTCTGCCTTTTCCACTATTTTTAGACTTTGAAGCTTAAGAGTTGTTGCTAAAAAAAATACCTTAGCGAAACATGTGGTGTTATGTGTTGCATTATTTAAATGTGAAATTAATTTTATACCTCAATTTTTATTCAATTTAAAATAGCTACCTATATTTATGGCTACTTGTGTGTATATAAAAAAATCAATACCCAACTTAAGCGCCATAAATCTATTGTTGACATTTTATGTACATAAAATGCTCTTGGCAATACCAAAGGAGAAGGAATTCGCAAAAACCACTAATTAAGTATTTTGTACGTGTCTTAACTTTATGTCAAACATAGATTGATTAATACGTTTTGTTGAAATGTTGAAATAAATGTTATTTATTTTTTCTAGCAAAGTGCGTGTTTAAGAGCAGTCTTGGATTATTTAAAAAACACATAAAAATTGGAAAATGTATGATCACATGTCTACTGATATAATATCAGGGATGATCTAAACCACATTATGCCAGATAATTTTTAACACTTCAATTAAAATAGCCTTGCAACTGATATTTCCAAATGGAAATCAGTCAAAATATTGTTCTGCCAAACGTTGCCAATGATTATTGCACTTGTTTATTTATTCAACATCAATGAAACGTCACATCACCATCATCGTGTGCAGAGAAATTTAAAGGAAAATAAACAAAAATAAATCGACAAGGCGAAATTCTCTTTAGCAAACATGCTGACAAATGATGTTGATGGAAATGCTCAACAGTGGGTGAATGGCGAAAAAAATATTTATACAAAAAAATCTAAAATTAAGATATTGCAATTTTTCATAATTTGATGCATTTGAAAATCTTACCATGAACCATAACCATATATTAGTATATTGTCACGGAATTCTAATCTAAAGCCTCGTTAGTCTTCATAAGCAAAAAATTGAAATTGATCAAATTTTGTTATCTATATAACTGCATTGACTGATTTTCGGTGTCGTAACACATTCAGCTAAAATTTATAACCGAATCAGCTGTAACTGGGAAATTTGGATACTCATATCCACTAGAGATCTACTGTTTTGTATCACCAAACAAACATATTGCGCTTGCACTACTACTGCCGCAGACATTATTTAATCTTATGTAGATCAAAATTTGGAATAAACATATATCTATCAACAACTTTTATTACTTGGGCTTACATATTAAATAATTTTTACATGGATTAAGAGAGCGTGTCATGTTCTTTCATGAGAAATAATATCGTTAAAGAATAAAAAATTCTAATGATTAAGATTTTAACGTAGGTTTCTGTGCCAAATTATAGGTCATTCGGCATCATTGAAAAATATGAAATAAGTCCACTCTGAAATTTCGTTTGAAAAATGCTTAGCCCTACATAAAAATTATGAACTTCATTTTTACACTTAGGTTGTTTTATCAATTAACAATACTTCAGCACCAAAACTTAACTCCTCTCCTTTTCTTTTTAATATCTCTACCATTACTAATTGAGATAGCCACCCTTCTTTTTTTAAATAATTTTATTTCTTTTGTGAATTATTTCCTGTTTTTCAATTTAAATTCTCCGTCTTTCGAATGAGCATAAAATCTCCCTTCTATACCCAAATCTCTACCACAAACAATTTCCATTGCTGAAAAATGAAACTTTTTCTCTCATGGTTACTGTAAGCCTGTGTAATACAAATCAACAGCGCCACAAAACTGAAATACGACAACTGTACGTCTTGAGTTTACAAAAAATACAAAACAGAAAAAAAAAACAATTATTGCCGAGGCAAAGTGCATTTGCCTCTGAATTTGATTGTAGGCCAGTGGTCGACGACAACGAAATTAAAAACGAGTAGTCAAATAAGTGGTCTGAAATGTTCTTTCCTTTTGTTTTCTCACTTCTTCTTCGTCGTCTGCATCTCGATTCTTATTCGCATTGCAATAAATGTGTTTTTTATTACTTGTTTTCTGCAATTTGCAACCAGATTAAAACTCAAAACAATGAAGAAAAATGCAATCATCGAACATGACCATGGCACATCATCCATGCCGTACAACTCCTCTAATGATGACTGTGAACATATATATTCCTGGTCAATTCAAGTACGTGCTCGAAATGTGTTGACCAACAGCTCATATGGCAAGTCTTTGGCAGATCCGTTTGCTGATAATTATTGTTATTATTGCAATTGTACAAAACGATCGAACACCAGTATTTAGTTTGAAATTTCAATATTTTTATTGTTTACTTCTTCTGCTAGGGCCAAGGGAGTTTTGGCGTGGCAGAGAGTTAGATATTGCTGTTAAGTACAAAAGCACTATGGAAAAATATTTGAAATAAAGCTGAGAAAACAGGATGGGTTTCCATTAAGACCCATGGAAGGTTTTTTGCACGATAACTAAAATAGCTAATTTGTTTTGAAACTTTTATATTTGAAAAATTAGATTGAAAAAAAATAATATTCTCAATAAATTACTGTTAGAATTTAAATAAAAGTTACATATCAAATTTGGTATGACAAAATTCGTCGTCTGCATCTCGATTCTTATTCGCATTGCAATAAATGTGTTTTTTATTACTTGTTTTCTGCAATTTGCAATCAGATTAAAACTCAAAACAATGAAGAAAAATGCAATCATCGAACATGACCATGGCACATCATCCATGCCGTACAACTCCTCTAATGATGACTGTGAACATTTATTTTCCTGGTCAATTCAAGTACGTGCTCGAAATGTGTTGACCAACAGCTCATATGGCAAGTCTTTGGCAGATCCGTTTGCTGATAATTATTGTTATTATTGCAATTGTACAAAACGATCGAACACCAGTATTTAGTTTGAAATTTCAATATTTTTATTGTTTACTTCTTCTGCTAGGGCCAAGGGAGTTTTGGCGTGGGAGAGAGTTAGATATTGCTGTTAAGTACAAAAGCACTATGGAAATATATTTGAAATAAAGCTGAGAAAACAGGATGGGTTTCCATTAAGACCCATGGAAGGTTTTTTGCACCCTTCACTAATATTTGTAATACGATAACTAAAATAGCTAATTTGTTTTGAAAAATTAGATTGAAAAAATATAATATTCTCAATAAATTAGTGTTAGAATTTAAATAAAAATTACGTATCAAATTTGGTATGACAAAATTCTTAAATTTTCAAATTACAAATATTTTAGCCACTCGCTATTTTCTTTTCAACAATTTAAAGTCTTCAAATACCATTCGAAGGGTCTACAATACTTTTGTCCTTCTTGTTATGAAATTACTAAATGCAGCATGCAACACAGCATGCACGATATGATCATTGCGTAGGAAAATGTTTTATGCTCTGAAGATAACAAGCAGTTTTTTTATTTCTTGCATAAAGGATTGGAAAATATAAGACAATAGCCACCTAAGACATAAATGAAATTTGCCACAACGGCAGATAGGGAAAATATGATTTCTTGCCGCGTTACTAAATGGAAGACAAAACCAGGAAATAATAAAATCAAAAATCAATATGAATGCATGTATTGTGCAAAAAGGGTTCATGAGACATCTGGTACTCGACAAGACAGGGGTAATGGAAATGCAAGGGAAAGTGTTTTCACTTCGACCCTGCAGACATACACACATAATGTACCTGCTCGGTTTCAAGGTCATTGTTGGATAGTAACTAAATAAAAAACTAAACACATTTAAGGCCTCAGTAAAACAACTGCAAGTAAAAGTGTTTATCTTTTTCTTTTTGTCCTTGGCTAACTCTTTAGGATTTCTTCAGCATTCACAGGACATATTCCACGCTTAATTTCCTCAATGTCATTCCAACCATTAACTTAGGCAATGAGTTAAATAGCCAAGGGTTTCGTCTTATAGCGTTATTACTTACCATTGAAATCACCACATACGACGCGTTCAAAAGGACTTCCCATCCAGTCTGAAAATAAAAGGAGAAAAATATGTACAATTAATATTTCATGTTTTACGCTTCGTTATAAAATCATTAGTTGAAGTCAAATTGTTTGGTTTAACTCTACGATTTGGTGAAATTTCCACAGAATTTGTCATTTGGTGGTCAAGGCTGTGGATGGTCATTAAAACAAATTGATGCATGCAAGGGTAAATGTTGGAAATGGATAAATTTTAGTTTTTATGATGAAGGACATTATTTTTTTCACTAAATATGGATGACGAACTAACAAATATGGCTTCCACTAAGTAGGGTTACTTAATTAAAGAAAAGTATACAAAACATTATGTATGGCCTTGATTTCTAGCAATTAGCCAACTAATTTTACGTTAATTTAAATAAAAAACAAGAAAGCAAAGGCAATAGTCGTGCGTTGACGACCATGTGATACCCTACAACACTACAATATGTTAGACGCCATATGTCCAAATCCATTTTGGAAGCTTTTGCTTTTGAAATTATGTCTCGGGGCACTGCCGAGCCTTTGCCCAATATTTACGCAATCCGTCGTGATTTTAGTTGTTGTGACCCATTTTACTGCTAAATATAATGCAATGGTCATCCAAAACGTTTTTTCTGTTTTTGGGTTATTTGAACCCCTAAATATTTTGCGATCATCTCCAAAAACAAGAGGCCCCTCCAAATTTAGACTCATCTATATGATTTGCTTCTCTGCAATTTTTGGCTATATTCGTCAACGAAATCAGCATAAAAAAGCCAGAAGTTCGCTGTTTGAGTAATTCAGATATCGCCAGTAAGTAATGCTGGTATTTTTTCACACAAAAGTAGTGGTCTATTCTACCCCTGTCCTAAACTCTAACTTCATGCGAGATTTCGTGTCCTTTAGTTTCTATTTGTGACCTTTATAATGGCCGCAAAATCAAGAACATTTTTAGTTGTTGGTCCATTTCAACCCCGAAATGTATTGCGGACATCTTTAAAAACAAGCCCTTCGGAGTCTAACCCTACCGTTATGAAAATTTTCGTGAAGATAGGACGAAATCTGTATATAACCCCAACATGTGTTGTAACATTACCTTCCTTTGTATATACACATTTCGCTATATATATCCGATATATTTACTATCGGCATCTACGTATCGGTCAGAATTGAAATATTCGCAATTTATTGGAAAATTTGACATTTAGTTAACACAAATATTATGGTATATTTGACCTACTAAATATTACCCGATGACCATCAAAATTGGAAGGCTTCTGCCCAGCCCTAAGCTTTAACCCCAAGCTAGCTTCCGCGCCGATCAGTCGATAGAACATAGAGATTCTGTTTATCCGTAATATTCTTCTCTCTTGTCAAATTGGAAATCGGTACAGATCTTGATTAACTAATTGTAGCCGCAATTTATTTTATTTACAAAAAAATCATTAAAATGCTGGATATCCGGAGGTACCATTATGTGCGGACCATGCAAAAACTTGGACCTATACATACTATGTTCCGACACAGGAGCTAGAACCCATTATTAACTACAAATACCAATTTCTGAACATATCCGTGGAATAATGTGGCAAAAACCATCAAAACACCTAATATCGGGAGGTACCGTTATTAGGGGGCTATTCCAAAATACTATATATGTACTATGTTCCGAATATCGGGAGGTACCGTTATATGGAGGCTATAAAAACATGGACCCATACATACTATGTTTCGCCACTGGAGCTAGAAACCAATATGACCTACAAATACCAACTTTAAGACAAATCCGTGGAAAAATGTGGCAAAAATCGTCAAAATACCGAATATAGGGAGGTACCGTTATATAGAGGCTATACAAAATAGTGGACGAATATATATACTTTATGGGGTCTACGAAGAAAATTTGGGGATGTTACAAACGGAATGGCAAAGTTGATATACCCTCCTTTTAAATTTGAAGGATATAACAATACCTAATTGACGCCATTATTTCCCTGCGACAATTTTTATTTATTCACCGCATCGGAAAACTAATATGACGAAACCCAAAAGCAAACAGCATGCAAATGAATTAAATTAAAAACTAATGAATAAAATTGCTCATCTTTCTACGAACACAAGATGAAAATGTCAAAAGTTGAATTTTCATTATAATTCTTAGTCCTGGTGGTCCTTTCAAATAATTACAATTCTCCAGATTAAGACAAACATAGCGCATTAATTAAGCAAGGAGGAATGAAAAGGCAAAGGAAGACGGGAAACCCCAAAAACGGTTAAACATGAAAGGAATTCTGGACGTTGACAACAATCAAATGAACAAAAATCGCTTTATTCGCTCAAAGTTTTCGCTCACTGGTTTGTATCAGGGTTTGAATCTCTACACCCAATGAATGCAGAAAGAAAGACATGAATACGTATATATACATACATATATCGTTTGACTTGCCGATTCTGGTTGTCGCTGTGTGCAAAGGTTGTATGGGATATTTGGCGCGCTTTTTGTTCTCTATGTAAGAATGTGTGTTGGTTTGTCTTTATTTTTAATTAAAACACACACAAATTCTTATGTTGCTGTCATTACTTTGCTCATGACATTCTCAGTGATGATGGCGATGACGACGACGACGACTACGAAGACAACGATGCTGCTGCCATTGCCGGCTCTCGATTGCCCTCCACACTCGCCAACATGTTGGTCTATCTATCTATCTATAACAAACCCATGCCTAGCATAGCTAGCTTAGAGTATGGTGGGGCTTTGCGCCTGTCTCTGTTACTCTGTGCAGCGCTTTTCCACAAATTTATGTGCTTTATCGCATTGACTGCATTCAGGCATTGTTGTATAGCCAGCATACAAGTTGAATGGCTGGGTTGGCTAGCTGGATTTTGAGCAATCTTTTTTTCTGTACATTCCATAATTCTCAAACATACGTTCTTGTTCCCAGGCTCAGAGAATGCCAAGAGGATTGAAAGATATAAAGAGAAAATAATAGGAATCTTTCGTAACCCCTAAAAATCTATTCCACGCTACTGCACGTGCCGGAATATTCACCAAGAACTGAACTGTATTGTATTCAATTTCCGTTTTGCTCCTCTCTGGCCAAATGTGACAGAAATATTTTTTTCTTCCCTTCTTTCACACTAGCTATGTGGAGAAAAGCATTTTACAGATAATTAAAAAAAAACTGTGCAAACTTTCGCTTAACTGAGTCCGTTTTGCAAATATTTTGTATGCACCATCATTTATTTCCGCATGGCTAGCTTTTTATTCTTCTTCATATTCCACCGACCACTGTTACCACTTGCTGCAGACAACACCAACCAACAACAGCCAGTCTTTTGGGCCATTCATTGAAATGCCTGCAGTGTTTGTGTTGGCTAAAGTCTCAACTACGTAGGAGGAGAAATTGTGCAATTTTGAATAATCAGCAAGTGATGTGGAATAAAGAAAAACGACATTTCCATTTCGCTGGTTCGTAGTTGTTGTTTTTGTTTTGTGTGAACATGAATATACATACAAGTTGGCTTAGTTGTTGGCTTGTTGTTTTTCTTAGTCAGGGAAATATTAAAATTCATTACAGTCCTTGCTATAATCCTGCTGAGTATTATAGAGAGAGATAACTGGAAATACTAATGGATAGCAGACAGGATGCATTTTTAATGAATTCTAAGGGTAAACATATTTTTATTTGCTTTTCTTCAATAATAAATAGAAAGCATTCTATTTTTTAAATAACTGGTTCCGAGGTGTTAATAAAGACTGTTTGTTTTTATAGAGTCTCATCTTTTGCAACAATGAGGCTTAAAATTAAAAAAAACACGTTTGCCATTTAAATGTTTGTGATATGGATCTGAGAACCCACGGACATATTTATTTTGACAATATCCCTGGTATAAAAATTAAAATTTGTATCAGATTTCTAAATTACTTTTATGACGTTAAATATTGAAAAAAACACAAGTGGCTATTCCAGCACTTCAGCATTTAAATGTGAATAAATCTTTTGTGTCTCGAACCATCGCTAGTTACTGGTAGCGTAGCCCGACTTCAAGGATGTGGATGGAAGAAAATCAGCAGAAATGGTTCGAAAAGTAAAGAAGCGACTTGATCGAAACCGGCGTCACAGTCGCCGAAAAATGGCTCGTGAGCTGAACATATCGCAATATTCCATTCGGCAAATAATGAAAAATGAGCTCGGCGTAAAGCCATTGAAATTATAAAAGTGCAAAAAATTGCACCGCAACCGAAAGAAAATAGACTCAAAAGACATAATGAGTTGCTTCGCTTGACCGAAAATGGTGAACTGCCGGGTTTGGTTTTCTCCGATGAGGAAGCATTCGTTGTCCAGCAGTTTGTAAACAAACAAAATGATCGTGTTTACTTGCTAAAGAGGTCAGCTGAAAATGTGCACCTTCGGTTGGCCACCAGAACTCGAGTGCCTGCCATGGTGATGGTGTGGCCCGCCATAACAGCCGATGGTCGCTCTCCGCTCGTATTAACCAACCGTTGCATCAGAATAAATGCCGAATGTTATCGCGAAAATATTCTTTATGGTGTATGAAAGCCTTGACGCGCAACCATTTTGACAGCAGACCTTAGAAATTCCGACAGGACTCAGCACCAGCGCACTCAGTTCGCGTCATCAAACAATGGTTACAAAATGAGATTCCACCAAAATCTCCGGATACCAATCCATTGGACTGTTGTGTATGGAGGATTTTAAAAAGCAAAGTTGGCACTATAAAATACCATGGTGTCAATCTCCTCAAGCAAGCGCTTCGCCGGGAATGCGCCAAAGTGCCGCAAAGAAACATGCGGGCAGCGTGTGATAGTTTCATTGGCCTTTTGAAGGACATAATTTGAGCCAAAGGTGACCAATTCGAACAAATCTAAACTTATTCTAAAATTTGATGCTATTTCCGACATTTTTTGCTTTCATTCAATAAAATTTAAAAAAATATATAAAAACTATATATAAAAACTAAAATCCATGGTTTATAGATATATGGAGGCTAAGCCAATTAA